GGATAGCCATTTGGTTTTGTTTATTTTGTTTTTATAGTTTCCAGACCTCTTCTGATAGTCCACAATTCTTAACTCCTATTATCGGTTTTTAAATCCTTATCTGTTAATTCCAACCTCTGGATCTGTTTCTACTGATTAATTTTTCTATTGACTTTGGTTCATATTTTTCTGTTTTTAAATATTTCTAATTATTATTGTATTCTAGACTTTCTGGAGAATCCAGATTCTGATGTATTTCTCCAAAGAGTATTGAGTTTTGTTCTAGTAGTCAGTTACATTTCTGACAGATCACCTTGAAATTGTTGAGCCTTTGCTTTAAACTTTTTTAAGGTAGGTCTATTTTCGTTGTGCCTTTAACCATAGGGTAAATGCCTCAGTCCTGGAATACCAGGTAGGGACCTTCTAGTATTACAATGGAAAGCCTGAGGTATTTAATGAGTCCTGATTTAGTGGGCAGCAGCTGAAATAATCTGCTCAGCCCTTTCAACTTTAAATTGTTTTACCCCTGGACTCTGAAGTTTCATGTTCAGTTTAGGGGTCAGCCAAACATTTGAGGGGAGTTAATATGTACATTTTATCTACCTCCACCCCCCCATGACACCCTTCTTTCCAGAATATCCTTCTTCAATTTCTAGCTGCTCTGACAGTCCCCAAGTCTGTTCTCTGCCGTCTGAAGCTGATAAGACTGAGGATTTTGCTTGGTTTCTCCCCTGCACTGAGTGGAATATAGGCCCTCAAGGAAAGACCTATTCAAAGGTGAATCTTGTCTAGGGTGATTCTCTTTTCTCAAGAGTCCATTTTCTTCCAGTTTCTGCCTGCTTTTGATTGCTCCCCAGTGCCTTCAAATCCTTCTCTCCTTTTGTGGACAGTTTATAATTGTTATCTGTAGGAGTTTTATCTGATTCAAGCTGTTCTGCCACTACCAGAACTGAATTCTCCCCATAATGGACATGTAATTTGAATCTGAAATCTTCGTTTCCTTTATCACCAAGATTCTTTTTTTTTTTTTTTAAAGATTTTATTTATTTATTTGAGAGAGAGAGAATGAGAGAGCACATGAGAGGGGGGAGGGTCAGAGGGAGAAGCAGACTCCCCGCTGAGCAGGGAGCCCGATGCGGGACTCGATCCCGGGACTCCAGGATCATGACCTGAGCCGAAGGCAGTCATTTAACCAACTGAGCCACCCAGGCGTCCACCAAGATTCTTTTTAACCACAGGAGTATTCCTGTTGCTATATAGTCTGACAAATATATAGCTACTAATTTGCATAGAGGCCATCTTTGAGAACTTTCAAGTAGACTGTTAATGGTGTCCCCTATTTCCATTCTATCGACTTCAGATTAATGTTTCTAAAACACAGCTCTGAACTCAACATATTGCAAGCAAGAATCTTCAGTGATACCCCATCACCTGCTGAATAAAATCTGAGTTCCTTAGCTTATCATTCAAAGCCTCCACTCTCTGGTTCCCAGCATTCTGGTTGTCTGCCCTATGTTGTTAGCATCATAGAAAATCGTTTACCTGAAAATGCCCGGGATGTGACTTACTCAGGATTAGCAATCTTAATACTAGGAGAACACAGTGTTTAAGTAAGACATGATTAAAGGTTTTTAAATCTCCTAGGTGCATTCTCTTGTTTTCATTGTGGGTTTTGTTGTTGTTGTTACTTTGATGTTTTAGTATAGATTGAGGGATGGGACATACATACTTTTGTAAGGTACATTTTAAATCTTTAATGTTTGCACAAGTAAAAATATAAATGATGGGGAGTTGTCTGAAAAATCTTAGGCCATTCCTGCAGCAGTCCCTTACAATGCTCCCAACCTATTTTTGGAAGATGAATTGGTGGCAGCGACCACACTGGTTGGTGGAAACCAGGTACACAATTTCAAATATTGCTGCAGGAAGGAAATTATCCGTAGCTATTATAGTAACATGGATTTTTAAGGTGTGTTCATTTTTTTTTGTTCAGTTTTTGTTTTCTTTATTATTTTTTTATTGAGGTATTGCTGGCATACATTATATTAGTTTCAGGTGTACAACATCATGATTCTATATTTGTCTATATTGTGAAACAATCACCACAATAAGTCTAATTAACATTGGTCACCACACTAGATACAGGGTTTTTTTTTCCCATGGTGTGTTCATTTTTTTAAAATCCTTATGGAAATATCCTAGCTTTTGGAAGTTTCTGTTTTTGAATACCCAAAGAAAAAAATCTTCTAGTGTGTACGGAAGGCAGTGGTCATTTCTTAAGCATTCTCATATGCCTGCAATCGAAGAGACTTAGTCATATTTTACTGCACATTTACAGAAGTGGAAAAGAACCTTAGATTACCCCACCCCCTTATGCAAATGTTTGGCAGCCTTGCACACATAGTAGGTTCCCAATGAATACTTGGCTGAATTGAAACCAATTAAAATTACGTTTAGTTTTCTCTTTGGACTTTAAAGTTTGTCCAACTCAATGTGAGTTATAGATAAATCTGTGGTTTTGTGTTCAGTTTCACACTGTACAAAAGTAACATAATGCTGGTTGTCAATGGAAATACTGACTGATAAAGTAGAGTGTTCCTCACTCAAATAATGTTCCTTTGCTTCTTGGTTCTAGAGAGCATTTTCAGCATCCTGTTGGACCACCAGCAAATTATATTGCAAATTGATGTTTAAAAGACTCTGGCCTTAAGGCACACAGATACTGCCAGCCTTCCTGAATTCTTCCAGTTTCATCATTTTGGGAAGCCACTTTACCAGTGCTAGCATGAGTTTTTTCTTGTGAGCAAATAGCAATAATAATAATTACCTTCTATATCATAGGGTTGTTACAAGGCTTAAATAAGATAGTGCTATAATAGGGCCTTAAAATTTTATTTTAAAAGTGGTAACCAATTAAGATACTGTGCAGCATCATGAAATGTTATATGAATCAGTTATGGTCTTTACCATGGGTATTGATTGCCTTTGTGTAATTATCTATACCTACTTACATTCACTAAGAGCCTCCAATTTTTTAAAAAGTCATTTTATTATTATAATGGTAGGTTTTCATTTCTCTACTTTGATAGATTTCCCTATTCTAGTACTGTTTATTGTTATTATTACTAAGATTTACCATAATGTTACTGAGAATGTGCTTTAGATTAAATTATTTCAATTACATTAAGCAACACACATTATTTTTCTTGAGTATTTACTGTAATTTACCTAGTAAGTCTCAACCAAGGGAGCATGATAGTCCTAAGCTGAATTCAGGGAGTGCTTTAGAGCTTGTTCACTGCTTTATAGCAATCGATGAAACTCCCTCTCTCCTTTGTCTGCATGTTTTCAATGACCCATGACTCAGTCCTCGGACCTCTTCTCCTTCCAGTCTGTGCTCACTCCATATGATCTCATCCAGTCTCATGGCTTAAAATAATGACTACAAGCCACAAGCTATTACACCTCCAGCCCAGACCTCTCTCTGACTCCAAACCTGTGTATCTAACTGCCAACTTGGCACATCCACTTAGAAACTTCTCAAGCATCTCAAACTTAACATGTCCAAAATTGAATTGGGGTGGTTTCCCGTAAACCACATGTTCCTACTGTCTTCCCCATTTCAATTTATGGCAGTTCCATTTTTCTTAAGGGTTCAGCCCAAGAATCTTAATACCTCTAACTCCCCTTTCTCTTCTTGTCTGTCAGCAAATGCTGGCAGTTCTACCTTTAAAATGCATCTAAACTCTGACCGCTTCTCACCACTGTCACTGCTACCGCGCTGACCTGACCCGCAAATATCTCTCCCCTGGATTGTAGTGATAGCCTCCTACCCCTGGTCTTCCTGCATCTGTCTTTGTCCGTTGAGTCAGTTGTCAACATAGCAGCCAGAGTGATTCTGCTAAATGTAAATCACATCAAGTCATTTCTCTACTCAAATCTTACCATTGCACTCAGAGTAGAAGTCCAAGTCTTAAATATGATCTTTACTATGGCCCAGTATGATCAGACTCACATTAACTCTTTTTCCTTATCTTTTACTTTCCACTCATTCTTTCTGTTCTTTCATACTTGTGTGCTTCTTAAACATGCCAGGTGTCCTCCCCAACCCTACCCGTACTTCACTTGCTTTTCCCTCTGCATAGTGTATTTTCTCCCCAAGATGTCCACACAGTGCCCTCATTTTCTTCAGACCTTTATTTAAAGCATCTTTGAGTAAGGCCTTCCATACTGTTTTTAAAATGTCAACATCCTCCCATACCTCCACCATGTTATATGCCCCTTCCCTAGCACTTAAGACTGTCCAACATTTGTATATTTTACCTAATTACCTTTCTGTTGACTGTCTCCTTCCAGTTGAATGAAAGTTAATGATAGCAGGGCCTTTTGACTGTCTCGTTCATTGCTATATCCACAGTGCCTGGTACCTAGTGGATGTTCTGTAAATCTTGGAAATAAATAAATGAATAATAGAGCTAGGCTACAATTTCACATTTTGCCAGTAGATGCCTCTCTCTAAGCATATTCCCACATCTTAATATTTTAAGTTACAGTTTGGTCTACAGTATGAAATAAACATTTACAGTTGTATAATTTGTAAGTCTTCCCACTGAAATCACCTGTGTGTAAATGGTGGGCAGGCATAGCAGCTTAAACAACTGCAGGAGAGCCTCCGAGCAATCACTCTGTTGCTGCTGTGATGTCTAAATGAAAATTGCACCATTGCTCAAGAGGGCTTGGGCAGCTACCAGAAATTTCAGTGTGAGGGAGCATGGCTCTGTATATATGAAAGTCAGTTGGAAGTAAATGCAGTATTAATCTTATCTCTAATCTAAAATCTCACCTGTGTTAAACTGACTATTCCTGTGCCTATATTATCTGTAAATCTTATTTCTCTTCTATGTTTTTGAAGAATAAATTTCAGGGCAGGAAAGATGAAGTTTCATATTCTGATTATACTTATTAGTACTTTATAGTAGTGTAGAAGTCTTTATTTTGACAGTTGTTTTTTAATTATTCAGGGCAACACAACTATTTATGTGCTGGAAGAAATGATTGTATCATTGATAAGATTCGACGGAAGAACTGTCCTGCCTGTAGACTTCAGAAATGTCTTCAAGCTGGAATGAATTTAGGAGGTAAGTTTTGTGTTTGTTAGTTCAATAAAAATTGTTAATATGTAATATAACACTACTAAGCTCTAATACTCCCAAAATTTAAGATGAAGCTAACATGGAGCAAAGATTTCTAAAAATCTAATAAGCTCATGCTAAATCATTTTAGTATTTCTTTCTCAGCAGGAGTTTAAAAAAAGTATGTTATGTGACTATGGTCCTGGTGAAGTTTTCAGCCCTGAGTTTGCTAAGGTTTCAAGAACTCAGGACATAACCAAAAAACCAAAACAAAAATATATGACTTTTTATATAAAACCATAACTCACAGTTTTTATTATAGTGTCTGTTTAGAAATAAGCTGCCCTATATGTGTAACATTAACCAGATAGGAATACATTCCTAACTCTAGGAATAAATGTAATAAAGGAAGACCTATATGAAAAGACTTAAAAATGTCATAGGAGCCCACCGAAAGATGGGGTTGGGGGGGGAGGTGAATTGGGAGGGTGGTGAATCAAACACAAAAGTGTTGAATCAAAGACAAAAGTATACAATGTCCATGGATGGGAAGATTCAGCATGCTAAAGGTATCAGTTTTCCCTGAATTAATTTATAAATATAACACAATCCTAACAAAATTACCAATTAGTGATTTTAAGTTCCTAAAGAACAGCCAGCAAAATTCTGGAAAAGATAAATAATTAGGTCAACTACCTCTACCAGATAGTAAAACATATGATACAACTACAGTAATTAAAATGATCTGTTTATTTGTTTATTGATTATAAGACCAACAGAAATTCAAGAAATAAAAATAATATGAGAATTTTTTATGTAATAAAGTTGTCATTCCAAATCAGTGGTAAAAGGATAGATTATTCAACAGAAATTATTGTGACAACTGGGAAGCCATCTGGAAAACAACAAAATTGAATCCAAACTCATACTATCCACCCAAATAAATTGTAGTCTTGCAAAGTTTTAAACTTGAAAATAAAACCACAGAAGTACTAAAAGAAAACATGGATCTTTTTAATACTCTGCAAGTGGAGAAGACCTTGTTAAGTATAAAACTCAGAAGCTATTAAAGAAAGAAATGAAGAAATCAACACTATTTGCAAATCAAATATCACTGCAAAGGCAAATAATAAAGCTGGGGAAAAGTACCTGCAACTTATAGACAGCGGGTTTATTTCTTGCATAAGAAGCTCCTATAATTCCATAAGAAAAAGAAACCAACTTATAAAAATGAGATTGAGAGGCGCCTGGGTGGCTCAGTTGGGTAAGCATCCAGCTCTTGATTTCGGCTCAGGTCATGATCTCAGGGTGGTGAGATTGAGCCCCGCATCAGGCTCTGTGCTGAGCGTGGAGCCTGTTTAAGATTCTCTCTCTCCAGGGGCGCCTGGGTGGCTCAGTTGGTTAAGCGACTGCCTTCGGCTCAGGTCATGATCCTGGAGTCCCAGGATC